TGAATATATGTATATATGTGTGTATTATGTATAAAAGTATATGGTGTGTAAATGTATAAAAGTAGTGGAATGTATGTGAAAAAGCATGATTATAAGGGGTAGGAGTTCACTTAGGGAATGTGTAAATGTGTGTGTGGATATGTGAGTGAGCAAATCAATATGGTCAAGTTGACACTATGGAACACCTAGTGTAGCATAATATTGGCTGGTATCATGGGTAATCCAATACATTATATTGGGACTATTACCATAGGATATCTAGTTGTCTAACAACTCCCTAATGCCCCTTACGGTGCGATTAAGAGTCAACTACGCCTCTATTACAAGTGTGTGAGAAGAGGGAAACCATAGTCTATAGGTAGGATAAATTACCTTTAATCAGGTGTTTCTACCACCGAAAGTGAACTCGAGTCAATAAGTGATTGATCTAGTAGAGCTTATAATTTTGTGTCAGGGAGCTTCAGAGGTTGGGCGAATAGATGATCATGCTATTGTTAGAAATGTTTTTGAAAAGTGGAAACTTTATATGTATTTAATAAATATGTGGGTGTGGGTGTGTGTTATTGCTTTGGTTTTATTACTTTAGCATAGTTATCTGTGATAATAGATATTAAATACACTATATTAGTTACTAAGATTTTAATCTCATCCGTGGTTATTTATATTTTTCAAGTTCTGGTGTTAGTGGTACAAAGGGAATGGAAACGAGCTAAGTAAAGATTCTTTTGAAAACCCCATTGTAAGCTGGTATAATGAAGTTGTGTATAAATGGTAGTGATTATGTATATAAGTTGCCATGGGGATGGTTATATTGTGCATATGCTTGTCTGGTTAGTTAGTGGATATGTTTATGGATGTGTTTATGTGTGTATTGTGGAATTTAGCTTGGTGTGATAATGAAAATGAAAGAAATAAATTATGACCAAAAAGTGTGGAATAGGCAATTTACAGGCCAAATGTGTGTATGCATGTCATATTATTTACATAATTGGTCAATTAAGTGTACATTATCCATTTGGACATGGTCAAGGCCCTAGAAGTGGTCAATGACTTGTGGTGTTAAACGGTGATGCACAAGTGGCATGTTTCAATTTACAACGGTCAAAATGCACTTGGATATCTAACTTTTAAATAGAGTATTGGATAAAAATAAAACAGTTTCATTGGTTAGATTATGAAACAAGCTTCAAGTAGGAGCTTGAATCACCCTAGTCAGACATTAAATGTGAAATTGTGCACATCTAAAGTTCATACTAGAAACTGTTTTATGACAGCAAAACCTAGTAGGTGTGCTACGGTGCATGTGTCAACAAAGAACAACATGCCATAATGCAAAGCACAGAGCATGCAGTTAGGGTCTATGTGCCACATGCCACGACACATGTGGCACATGCCATGGCGTATGGCCCACTTATGTGAATGATGAGATTTTGAGTTGCTTTTTGATGTGTTTATGTTTAGTACTTCCACTGTGTGCTAGTTTGAATAACGTAAATGGTTTCTATAGAGATTTTCAAAAGTAATATTAAGATCCTAAAGCTTTTAAAGTTGTTTATTTTGTTTAGTACATTATGTGGATGGTCGTATGGTAATATTATTGAGGCATTACATAAAACACATATTTATCATGACTTATGAGTTTCTTGATAAGTTAAACGCATGTGTGAAATGTGTGGTATAACAATTGATTGATAAGTCATATAGACAGATGACCAAACTTGTAAGTAATTTGAGAAGCAAAATGATTAGTAAAGTTATGTGCTATATTGTAATGTGGAGTGCCATGATAAGTTGTAATGCGGAGTTATGTGATGTATTGTGAAGTAATCATGTGCTAAGTACAATGATGCTATCTGACTTGTTAAATATGTTGAGTTATATGCATGCTATGAATTGTTGCACTTGTGCATTGCATGATCATGTGAAGCAGGAGTTTGCCTAGAGAAAGGACTAGTGAAATAAAATCCATATGGTATGGCCATCATTCATAGCCCGATGGCTTGCTTTTGATATATTTATATTATTTGTCCCACTTGTTCGAAGAGGGATTGTCTCATAGTTTATTGAGAGACTTGAACCTAAATTAGTTTTCACTTGTTTGATAAGAAGGCTAGTTTAGGGAAAACAACACCCCATAATGTAAGATTTGGGGAAACAATGAATCACAAGTGAGTTAAGTAACCTTTGTTGAGTAGTTCTCACACATGAAAGGTTAGGTTAGTCTCATCACATGGACAAGCCTATGGTGTAATAGCTTAAAGTTTCATATCGGAAGTATAAAGAGGATATAAGGAAGATAGTGATCATATATCTTGTTAAAAAGAGCATATGGTTGTCTGTATTGTGATCCTTATGATAAAATTATGTGAATCTATGTGATTAGTAATGTGAAATATGAAATGAATCCTTGTAAATGATAGGTTGATATGTGTTTGAAAATGTTAAGCCACTAGCATTTTAATTAATTGACATGTATTAATATAGGTTAGATATACCTTAATTACTAAGTGATTGTATTCACCCTTCTCTTTTTAATATTACAAGTACTAGCTGATAAGGATTGTCCCTTGTCTTCAAAATTAAACTAAAGCTAACCCTAATGCAATATAGGGCCAACCCTAGGTCATCTCCTAAAGAATGATTTTAGTCTAATTTAAAGTTATCTAGTGAAATAAATTACCCAAAGTTTGAAGTTTATTAACTAATTGCTAACCTAATTATCTAGTAAATTAAACTAGCAAATTAAACCTAACTATGAATGATGTGGCTTCCCAATTTAAGTAGGAACCCTAGGGTGTTGCTAATGGAAGATTCCTAGCCCTTTAATTAATTATGGAAGTTCACTTAACTCTCCTTCCTTGGCTGAAAAATATATTTACTTAAGACAACTATCTCAAGCATCCTAGCTTCACTAATTTAATTCCCTAAGTGTTATTGCAAGTCCCCTAGGTAACCTTACTAGGTTAGTTCTAAAATTAACCAAGTGTTTAGTTAAAATTCATTTGTAATTGCCATTGCTTAAAGCTGTACCTAAACTCAAAACTATGAAAACTCAAGCAACTCATCAAGTATTCACCACATAATTACATGCTAAGCTAATACAAGACATTCTCTAATTGAAATCACATATTACAATGAAAATTCATGAGGAGACTAAAAATTCCAACAGCAACAAGAGCATGAAATTCAACTAAACAATCTTATCTCAACATTACAAATTACAATCAACTATGAAACTAAAGTCAAATTGAACTATGTACAATCAACAATAGTCATAGTATTCTAATGAAATTGAAACAAGATGAAGAAATAGTTGAGCTTAGCCAACTGAATACTTTAAAACTCCTCTTCCATCAACTTTCCCCTAGGATTCCATAGAGAATCTAGCTAGAAAACATTTTGGGACTCAAAATGGAATACTCCTAATGTTTTCCTTCAGCTGAATACTCAATTAAAAAATAAAAAAAGAAAATAAAAAGAAAATGAGAGTCTTGTCATACTTGCAAGGTGGCACCCTTCTATTAGTTTGTAGATGATTCCAATGTGTGCCTAATTTTTCATGTGTCATCCACATCATTTAAGCTGATTTAATCCCTCAAAATAATCATAATTCAAATGCAAATGATCAACCATTGACCTCAAGGACTGTTGACCTCAATTGCCTAATTGATGAACAAGTCACATGCTACCTATGTCATAAAAATTACATAATTCAATTAAATAGCATGTGATATAATAAAATCTAATTAATGTACAGAATTAAATTTATAATTAGAAGGGAGAATTTATTAAATTAACTAAGTTCTAGGTTGCACAAAATTATATAAGAAGTTTCTCACAAAAGCAAACTGAAAACTAAGTCAAACTGAGACACTTTAAAAAGTATTGACTTTTTAATTTAATTACTCCCAAACTAAAATGAATTTTAAAAATCTAATTTTACCACTCATCAACTAGACATAAAATGCACTTTGTCAATTTTTCTTATACATTTTCTCAAAAGTTTATTTTTTAGACCAAAATGCCCTTAGTGTACTAAACCTAAAAACTTAGGCAAAATTTCAAATCTAATATAGTGTGCACTTTGAGGTGATAAATCATTAATAAAAAGGTTCTAATTGACAAATAAAAGTGGATAACAAATGTATTCTATCACTAGTTTATCAAGACAAGATCAAGGGAAATAGCTTAAGGCTTAGGATTCTTATTCTAAATTTGTAGGTCTCATTTTTTTTTTTAGAATTTATGTGTATAATTTAGTATGATATTGTCAGTAGGAGTTATATTTTGATTGTAAAAGGAGTAAGTTTAGAAATAGGTGTCCAATTTTTAATTAAGAAATTAGTTGAATAAAAAATCAATGCCATTAACTAAAACTCAGATAAAGTTTTCTGTAGACTCTTAAATCATCTCAATCGGGTCGAATTGAAAAATTAACATTTGACAACATCTGTGATGTTAAACTTGTGCCATGGCACAAAAGAGAACATGCTGCAACACGTAAGACAAGCCACGACACATCCTCCAATCTTTGAACTAAAATATTGTTTTCCAACTTAAATACATATGCTTTGAAATAAATTAGTATCTCATACTTTTGTATATGTTTACTTTAATTTTCAGATTTATGAAAGCTATACTTTTAGATGTTTTAAAAACTTGAAAATTTGGAATCTCACTTCTTGTGGCTCTAATGCTTTGAAAACTACATGATTTTCCATAATGAGTTGGTAATCTGACTTGGTTAATCCCATGATTGCCACTATGGATTGTTCAAGAAGTTGATTAGTAAGGAACACCTTACAGGAATATTTCACAGCACCTTTATAAAAATTCAATTATGCTGATCTTTTATACAAGGCATGAGACTTGTCAACCATAACAAGCTTATGTGAAGAAACTGCCTGCATTTTCTCTTGCATCTAGGATTCACATTTACCTAAGCCACAAGAGTACATCCATTGTTCACCAAGGTCCTTGGATGAAAAAATTGACAGGAATTTAAAGTTAAAAAGTAAATATAATTCTTGCTCTTGTAACTCATCATCACATTTGGTAGGACACTGAACAACATTGTTTTGTACATCTATTACACAAGTTGTTCTAAGTAATACTTGAAAACTTGAGCGTTTCCCAGGAACAAACATTCGACGCCATGATGAATCAGTATGGACACATGTAAGGTTGCCCTTTTAACAGCAACCTACTCCCCCAAAAAAAAAAAAAAATCTAGAAACTGGGACTTTTATTTTTAGTATGAAGTTAAGCCAGAACAAAAAGTTCCCTCAAGAAATCGCATATCATCGTAAATTAATAGGATTCATTACCTAGCCTCTTAATCCAACTAATATATTATAAATTCCTAATTACTACATCAGAGGATCATAAATATTACAAAATCAAATCATGGCCACATTCAGATGGCATGGTCCATGGTCCAGGAAGGTGAAAGTCTTGCTCAGAGCTTCTTGTTCTTCTTTCTTCCTTTGACTTGTTTCTCTAAACTTCGAAGCCTCTGACTAATGACAGATGAAGAAGATATCTTCTGACCTGGAAGTTTCGATTGTACAACTGGCGCTGAGCTTGATTCTGTTGTCGCAGATGAACCTTTCTTTAGCGCAGGAAAGAAGGAAAATGGAGATTGTGGTGTGTTGGTGGGTGCAGCAGCAGGTATTTCTGGAACGCCCAATGCTTTCTTAACGCCAGGAACTTTAAGCCCTGCAAAATTCATACACGAAGAATATTGGGATTTTATCTCATTCACTGACTAATCGCAATACTGAAAAGAATTTACAAATTAATGATCCATCTTAAAAAGAACAAGGTCAGCAGCAAATTATTTTCTAATAAATTGCGAATCTAGGAAGATAAAGTGTAAAATAACTGGCCAAACGATTTTATATTATTAGGGGGAGTAAATTACAAGGGCATTTAAGTAATTCAACTCTTAAATTTTTCCTACTTAGGGACCTTTACTGGAATTAACATTCCTCTAAAATCAGACTTGAGGCCAAATGACCACCCCCAATTATGATAGCAGTGGATTATATAGTACTCAAAAAATGCTGGGGGTATTGAACTTGGCAGGAGTACCAGAAGATAGGTTTTTCTTCAGAAGGGCCACTTCTCTTAAAAGACTACAAACTGTGTGTTAATAGTTTTATGAAAATATTAATTAGTTTAGATTTAAATGACAGTTATTGAGATTTAACCGTTGGGGAGTTTGAGCATGAAGCCTATAAATAATGAGACATTTAATTTGTAAGGCTATCTGAATGATCACAAAAGTACTATGCAGAATCCAAATGTTCCTTAATTTCTCTCAACTTCTCCTTCTCCCTAATACTCCTAATTCTTCTCTGTCTCGACTTTACCTTCCCAGGACTCTTTCCCTTACCTTCTTGTTCTTTTCTCTGCTCTCTCCTATCTCTTTCAATCTTTTCATTACCCAGAATTATCCTAACAGATCACTGTGACCCAAAAATGTGGTCATTAAAAGCTCATTAATAATGAAATCTGAAAAATAATGAAACTGTAAACATAAAGAGCAAACACGATGAGATGGTTATGAACGTCTAGATTATAGGAGACCCATTGATAGAAAATATGGCAAATATTATTTTAGGAGCAAATAATTTATTAATTCTTTATTGCTTTTCATTAGTTTATTAGTTTTTGTTGCTTTTCACTTAACTTTTGTAAGTTTCCTTCTTGTGAAGTAAACCAAGCAGCACAAGTGGATGTTTCCTTGTTAGAAAGGAAACCTCATACTTATAAATAGCATGACTTGTGTATTTAGAAGGGGATGAAAAATGAATGAAGTTATTTGATATATTTTAAAAACTCTCTCCCACCAGTCTGCGTCCTACCCCTCTCAATTCTTCCTCCCTCTTTGTTCTGTCCTTCCTTGTCTCTTCCCCCACTACCCTGTTCTTGTCCCTCTCCCTACCACTCTTTGTTTTTGTTTCATCTCACTTTTCCTTTTCTATTAAAATCAGTGTGAGCGTGAGTGTTTATGTTTTACATTAACTTTGTATCAAAGCAAGGCTCTAAATGTTCCTAGGCTGTTTCCGGGGCTGGAGATCGGAGAAAACTCACAAGGAAGCTCAGCATACTCTGTGTTCATGCTGCCAGCGCCCAAAGCCACATTTCCCAATGTCAGATCCAAAAACGGACACCACCATCGTGCTCAGGAGGAGAAATCCGATCAGAACCAGAAAAACCACCTACGCCCGTAGGCACAAGTGCCGGCACACGCCGAAGGAGTTTCTGCTCATGATTGTCACACGCCTCACCCCACGTCACACGTGCCGTCCGTACAGTTTTGCTAGAACCTGATTTTCAGCATTTTCTTGTGTTTTTGCAGAATTTCTTCAACTCTGAAGAAGCTGAGAGGCACAAGTCATCGTTTAAAACATATTTGGGGGTAAAACTTTTTGTTTGAGGCTCCTAAAGCAACGCTAGTAAGGCCAACAACCCTCTCATTTAACTGGCTTATTTGGTTATTAAAGGGAGCTGTTCTATTCATAACTAGTTCTGAAATTTTTGTTGTGTGGTACTTTGATTTTTTTGAGCATTGCAATTTTTATTTTTATTTTTATTTTTTTCAATCGTGTTTTAATTTAATATTTTGAAATATATATAAAAAAGGAATTTACATTGATCATTATGTTGTAAATTTGTGACTTTTGATAGCAGTATTCATATAACTTAGGACACCTACCTCACACAATTTACCCGGGTCCAAAAATTACACTAGGTTAGTTGAAGTTTCTAACGGTTTTCTTGAAAGGTCTTTGAACCTTCAGAGATTTCTGTGAAGAATTCACTCGATTTGTTACCTATTTAGCATACGATCCTTGTGGAATTTTTGAATTCTCAAAGGATTAGTGCTGTTAAAAGGGACTTCACTTATTTAGGTGAGGGCAACTTGGGGGCCTTTCTTCTTAGGTTATTAAATCCACTCCAAACTTGCACTTTACTATACCATCTTTGTCATTGTATGACCATTCGTGATTCATATGATAAGCAAGCTTTATTAGACCAAGAAATTATTACCCTAAAATCTGACATGGCCAATAACTCCCAAATCACCCAAAATCATCTTGAGGAATTTGAAAGAACTCAAAGGGCATATGTGGACCAGCGGCTAGATGAAATTAAAGAATTCATGAACAATAAATTTGAAGAGATAATGGGTGCAATTCAATTAATATACAGACAAGATACAGGGAAAACAACTAAGGGATTACTCAAAAGATTTATCATTAGAGGAGAGTCAAGTCTTAAAAATGAGCAATTCCCAATCCACAATCAACTTAGAGGTAATTCCCTTAGGATTGGTCATTCCTCTAGAGCTATGGGTGAAAGACACAATAGACCGTCTCCTTATGAGTTTACTAATCATCATTCTAATGACATAGATGATACTTGGGATGGACAAGGGCCTGAAGAACAACATTATAGACCATACTAGCTAGTCATAGGAATGGTAGAGAAGGCCTTAGAAGCACACATACTGATGACATCACCAAAAAGGTTAAAGTTGAAGCTCCTGAGTTTGATGGACGATTGAATCCTAGTGCGTTCTTGGATTGGTTAGCCAACATGGAAGATTATTTTGAATGGCATGACATGAGAGATATTCAACGAGTTCGGTTTACGAAGATGAAGCTCGTGGGATCTATTAGAAAATACTGGCAAAATGTCCAAAGGAACATTGAGCGATAAGATTATCCACCAATTGAGACGTGAGACGAAATGAAGGCCAAGCTAAAAGAAAAATATGTGCTGACTCATTATAAGAGTCAACTGTATGACAAATACCTTAATTTGAGGCAAGCCTCCACAGCTTCCGAGTATATTTCCCGTTTCGATGACCTTATGATTAGATGTGATGTGGATGAAGAGGAATGGCGCACCATTACCAAGTTTGTTAATGGACTCAAGCCATGTATACAGAAGGAACTCAAGTTAAACTTTCCAGAGTCTCTTGAAGAAACTTATCATAAGACTTTGGAAGTAAAGTCTCTGTCACAGTTCTCATCTGTAAAGCATATCAACATGCAGAGCAATCAGTTAAGACAAGCACGAACTTCTAGTCTATCTAAACGACCAATAGGAACACTTACATCTAAGCCTAGCTCGTCTTTTACACCTACTCAAGCAACTGGGTTGAAGGGTAATACTTCTAAGCCTAATGAGACTATAGTTCCTGCTTCCCGCCCTAACAATTCTTTTGTCGAGTGTTTTCGCTGTCACTCAAAGGGTCACATTGCGTCAAAATGCCTATAGCGTACTCTAGTTATTGACTCACAATGTGAGGGTAAGGAAGACAATGCAAATGTTGACATTGTCATAGATCCGATTGAGTGTCCTTCAGATGTCGATGAGGACATCATCATTGATGAACACGGGTGTGAGACACGTCGAGTTGGAGTTATGCGATGCATTCTATCTGTCCCTCTGCCTAGTGATTCATGGAAGCGAACAAGTATTTTCCACAATTTTGTGAAGTGTGGAGATAAAGCTTGCAAATTAGTGATTGATGGAGGGAGTTCTAGAAATGTTATTTCTAGTCAAGAAGTAGCCCGGCTCAGCCTCAAGACAGAACCTCACCCAAAACCTTTTCATATTGCATGGGTTGACAAAACTTCTTTACCAGTCACCCAACCGTGTCGCATTTCTCTTCACTTAGGTGACTATAACGAAGAGATTATTTGTGATGTTCTTCCAATGGATGTTGCTCACATTTTACTTGGTCAACCGTGGCTTTATGACCACAATGTTATCAATCATGGGCACGAGAATACCTATACATATAAGCATGGAGGCAAGACAATCCTGTTACGTCCTGCTAAGCCTGACAACGAAGGCAAATACTCAAGTAAATCAAAAGGCACAAAACCCAAAACCCAAAACTTGCATCTTCTAACAGAAAAACAATTTGTACAAGAAAGCAGAGAAAGTACGATTATGTTTATTTTGGTATCCGAGATCTCACAATGAATTGCTAATACTTCAGAAATGCCAAAAGAGGTGCAACAACTCTTACAACAATTCCGGGTATCACTCTAGATGAGCTTCCATCTAAATTACCACCAATGAGAGATATCCAACACGTAATTAATTTCATCCCAGGTTCACAACTCCCCAATTTACTGCACTACAAGATGAACCCTAAAGATAGGGTAGAGCTTAACCGACAAGTCAATGGCTTGTTGGAAAGGGGTTATATCTAGCATCGTATGAGTCTTTGTGCATTACCTGCTCTTTTAACCCTAAAGAAAGACGGCTCTTGGAGAATGTGTGTAGACAGCAAAGCCATCAACAAGATCACCATCAAGTATAGATTTCCCATTCCTAGACTTGATGACATGATTTAGTGTCTGGATCTAGTTGGTTTTCAAAGATTGACCTCAAAAGTGGTTATCATCATATCAAATTAGACCTGAAGATGAGTGGAAAACTGCTTTTAAAATGCAAGATGGGTTGTTTGAATGGCTTGTCCTGCCTTTTGGGTTATCAAATGCCCCAAGTACATTCATGAGAGTAATGACTCACCTCCTTCGCTCATACTTGGGAAAATTTTTGGTGGTATACTTTGATAACATACTAGTTTTTAGCAAGTCAAAAGAAGAACACTTGGAACATCTCGAATTAATTTTTCTCACCTTGCGTCAAGAATAGTTTTATGTTAACTTGCCTAAGTGTTCATT